GTGATACTCTAAAAATATGAAGAGTATAAATATCAATGGTAAAGATGTATTAGCTATTATGGCTTGAGGGGATTACCACTAAAAATATTAAGAGGAAATAAAAAATTCCATCATTTAGGCTGAATACCATAAAAACCTTTATGGGCAGATACTATTGCTACCTCCAGACACTCAGATACTACAGTGATGGAGATCATAGAGGTACTTCCATAGATTAGCTAGATTAGGCTGTATAAATCACAGGGCAAGTCGCAGAAGCCATATTCATTTGGGACTAGACTAGCGAAAGCAATAGAAGATGAACTGGGAACAAGTGGGACTGATGAGCTGGTATATAATTTGAGTTGGAAATGATGTGAGAAAACTTCCCAACCAAAAGTCATTATTTTGGAGATAATGTGAAGCTTTTATTTTAATCTAAAACATCTGAAATATAAATGGTGATGAAGGTGATTTTAGCGCTGTATCAATCAAATGCTCTTGTACAATAAAGACTTTAAATACATATGAACAGGCAATAAAATAAAAAACCATTCCCTCAAAAACAAATCTATTTTTTTAAAGATATCAATTGGATATATAGGAAAATTGATAATGATGGATGAATGAAAATACCACAAGCCCCTAGTTACGACATAGTAAAACTTCGAGTCTAATAATTCAAAACATACCTAGAACCAAAATGGTTCATAGTCAAGAAGACACATCAAATGAATGAACATATTTCTTATTCTTTGAGAAAGAAAAGTATCTCTTCACACAGAATCATATGGTGTGTACAGAATAGACACCATTGTTGTTACATTTGATTGACCTCAGTTGAAGAGACACTATCTACTGACAGAAGATCCCCCAAAAACACCACAGACAATATTTAAAAAAAAAAAAGGGCAAAACTAGTAATCATTAAAAGGTTATATGAAAAATATTTCATTCTTCTAACAGCCCCCAATGATATATAAAAAACAAAAAACAAACAAACCTGATCAGTCTATCCTATTCCAAAAGGAGTAACTATAAAAATAAAGCACCAGAATTTGATTCCATACTAATGCTGAAAAGCATGTTATTCCTTGATTAATCCCATTGAAATCATACAACTCAAGTAAGGTACAATTCAGTGTGAGTATCAGGATCTGGTCCAAGAAAAGAGCAAATAGGATGCAGAATGAAAGAGGATGGGATCCCAATGCCTGATTCTGACACTGTTACTCAGATTTTAGTTTGTTCCATGAGTGGTCCCACTGAACAGAAATAAGGCTATTCATGGAGTGAATTACTGCATAGTACACTTAAGGTTATCAAAATAATCTTTTTGTTGTACATATAACTAGAGTACTGCCAACTTATTTCATATGCAAATATTGAATAGTTATTAACACGAAACTAAATCAGGGTGGGCAAATTCTGGTCCAAGGGCCAGATCTGATCTGCAGGGTTAATCCTTGGAGGGCCCCCACCTCTAAATTTACCTGTGTCTCCGCAGGTATCAGATGATCGCAGCTCTCATCGGTCATGGATCACCATTTGTGGCCAATGAGAGCAGCAGGAAGTGGTATCCTGCTCTGTGCCACTTCCCCACTGCTCCAATTGGCTGTGAAAGACAATCTGCGGCCAACAAGAGCAGGACTAACCCTTGTGGGTTCTGGGCTGAACTGTATCACCCTCTCACATCAATTAATACCTGACTCCTCTAGTACTTCCATTTATTTTAGTGTGACTATTTGAGGAGAAATGGATGACTCAATCTGAAGACTGTTTAAGGAGTAAAGAACTATTCATCATTCTAATATAGAAGCATTTTACCTTCTCTGTAACCTGGTGTAAATGACTAAAAAGGGGCAGAGCTGCAATGAACCGGGTCCCAAAAGTATCACAGACACACCTTGGAGTTTATGGGGGGGGGTTATTTTTGAGAAGTTTACTGATACAATGAAAGAGGAGGTTTTATAAACCTCTCAGATACGTTTGTGAGTATGCTGCAGCTTACGACGAGGAAAGCGTTTTAAAACTGAAACAAACTTGCCTAAAATCAGCCACAGGATGCTGTTCCACATAATGCAGAAAGGAAATCCAAAATGGCAGCCCTAACCCTAGGTATTTATTTAAGAATGCCTCATCGAGAAAAGTGAAGGCAGTAAGGAACATTCTAGATCATTCTAGAACTCAAGACACTTAGCATTTTAAGTAGATGAGGCCAATATACTGCCAGTTTTGCTATTACAGTCTTTGCTATATTCCAGTAGATGCCAACTGTGAACTGAACCCATATTATAAAGCCTTTTACTCATTAACACTGCAGAATGCAAATAAATTTAACACATTAGTTAGCCGTGGGCAGATGAGCAAAATCAAAGGTGATGTCACAATGCCGATATGCAACAATAAACTGTCTTAGAAAGTGTTTTCTTTTTAACACTATTACACCTTTGTATGGAGCTACTGATTTCATATTTATTCATAACCTTTTAAATTATCATTATTGTTATGATGAAAAGAAAGAAAAAGGGAATTAACTACTAATACTCTACACTTATAGGCCTTTCTTTTGGAGGATCTCACACAAGGAGCATTACATTTAGGCTCACAATATCCTTGTGAAACAGATTAAGGATTATCATCCCCATTTTACAGATGAAGAAATTTAGGCTAAATCTATACTGGCACTTTACTGAACCGCAATTTTCTGGCACAGGGCATGACTCTCCCCTTGTTTCCGGCCTCTAAGCACAGCAAGTTACAGTACTGGAACCACACTCTCAGGCTATGTCTGCACTGCCCCGCTCTTGCGGAAAAACATATGCAAATGAGGCTAAGTGTGGAATATCACTGCCTCATTTGCATCATGAATGAGGCTCCGTTTTTGCACAAGAGGTTTTTGTGCAAAAAGGAGCCATCTACACAGCTCCTTTTTGCGCAAAGCCTCCCTCTTGCACAAAAACTGTTCTTCTGCATTTTTTCCAGAAGAATGGCTCTTGTGCAAGAGGGGGTTTTTGCGCAAAAGCCTTTTGCGCAAAAATGAAACCTCATGAATTATGCAAATGAGGTGCGGCAATATGCTTAGCCTCATTTGCATATGTTTTTTCCGCAGGAAAAAAAAACAACAAATGGTCTGGTAGCACTTTATATATAGCTTTATATACTTTAAATATAGCTTTATCATGAGCTTCATGCCATCTACATGTTTTGTTAGTCTATAAAGTGCTACCAGACCATTTGTTGTTTTTTTACAGTAATTAGCTACTCCCCTCATGGAGGTGGTTTACATAGAGTGCTGAGAAAGCTCTCTCCCAGTGCGCCTGCTGTGGCCACACTTTAATTTTAGAAGTGTAGACAAAATTTCAGGTTCACATGGATTAAGACCCAGCTTTTTAAAGCTACTTAGGTACATAATTCTCATGACCGTAAGCATCTAAATATATTGAAAATCTGGGCCTAAATGACTTGCCCAAAGTAATTCAGGAAGACTGACACAGGAATAAAACCCAGATCACCTATTTCTTGTTCTTGAGTTTAACAGTGTCTTTCCTCACTTAGAACTTAATGCAATTACAAGCGTTTGTGTGTGTGCGCGCACGCCTCTGTGCATATTTATAGAAGTGTGTTTACAACTATATATACACACATATATACAAATATATTTTTGTGCATTTGTCTATCTCACTGTATAAAGAGATACAAAAGAGTGTGGGTGTATACTAGGGATGTAAGAGTTTAACCATTTAACTGGTTAAACCTTATACTGCAGAGCCTGGAGCTCCGGATGGCAGCCATCTCCTCTGGAATGGGGCCAACATCCACCTCCCGGTGCTCACCAGCTCCCGCTGCCTGCCTGTTCCCCAGGAGCTGGCTGCGTTGCGGGCTCTGTAGTATAAGTGAATCCACAGCACATGTAACTGTATAACTGCTAGTATTTGTAATGGATGTGGTTACTTTTTTAAAACCTTTTTTACATCCCTAGTGTATATACACTTCTTCCCTTTAAAAACAAACATGCTCCCATGGACACAGTCAAACAGATTCAAAACCTACTACTGGTTGGTTTTTATTTAAATGAAAACTCATACTTGTACTGCATGGAAATGACATTCTCTCATTTTAGAAAGAATCCTTTATAAAGACATTCTGGTCAGGAACTCCAAAGGCCTGCTTTATTATCTACTGGGTATTATTTACACAGACATAACAATACTGAAAACGCCTCAGAAAATAGTGCCTCACCACATTTGTGCATCATGTTATACCAGCCTCACAGGTTCAACAATTAAATTAATTAATGTTGGAAAATGCTGGGAAAATTCCAAGCACCACACATAAGTGCTAAGGATTAATGGTAAAGACTGGTAGAGTCTTGCACAACAGTTCAATATTATGCTTTGCAGCAGGAGTTTCCTGCCAACAGGAATAATGAATCAAACTGTTGTAAATGTATAAAAATAGCTGTCAAAGCATAAAATTGGTGTATGTGAACTAATCCCTATAATTCCCTTAGCAATTAGGTAGACCAACAAAAAGACCCTCATACAGAAGTTTAATTCTTTACATTATTCAAAAGTTAAATAGTCAACCAATTTTTAGATAACCAGTTTCCTGTCCTGGTCATGTCAACAGCTTTGAATTTACTTCCCAAGAAAAGTGGTTTACAATATTATTTCTATTTCACTTTCCCTAAAAGCCGTAGTGAAAAAGCAAGCCGCTGGTACACCAGTCATGAGGGCATAATCTCAGTAAATCCAGGATTTAGATATTAATGGTCGAATGGACTGTGTCAGAATTATACTTAGTCCTACACACAGCACTGTCAACTCAAGTTCAGTGAAACCTTTGTCATCCAGCACTCTGTTAACAAGAAAACTTTGTTAACTGGCATTGCCCCCAGCCACAATACTGTCACATCTTCAGGCACACAGGCCTAGCTTGGTTTACCATGACTGGTTTAACAATTTTTTATTTTATCATCTTTAACTCAAAACAGAAATGTGACACCAACTGCCTCACACTACAAAACTATTAATATTAAAAACTTGAGTTTTATTGCCCATTGGTTTTTCCTAGGTTGATGGGACCCTCAGATAATCGGAATTTTTAGATAACCAGAATGCCTTAATCCCTGAGCGTCCTGGATAACACAGGTTTTACTGTATTTCCTCTCTCAGTGGATTAGTTCACTGGATGAAATTTTGTGAGATGGTTACAAACAGATCTTTTCTTGAGGAGCTAGCATGTACTTCCCATTCTTTTCAAATGTTCCCATCCACTTTCATACTGCTAATTCCTAAACTTGATTTTCTTGTGCTTTACACAGATTGTGAGCTTTGTATTGCCACACAGAAGGTGGCATGCTAATGTGTTGTTTCTGAAAAAAGCATATTCCATGATATCATTAATTCCCTGGCTACATGGAAGAGCAACCTACTGCATAGGAGAATTTTTAGAAAGTGCCATTCTGTCTTAGCGGCATGACTACTTGTTTATTCACAAGTATATAGTTGACTAACCACTTTAGGGAAGGTGGTACGGACACTTGGTTACAAGCATTAGCACAACATTCAGTGAGTAAAAAAGAGCTAGTCATCTCTTGTTGAAGGCAAAAGGTGAAAAGATTAAATAGGTTTTCTGAGAGAGTCCTAATTCCAGGCAGCTGTGATACATGGGATGCCTAACATTTGGATGAACGATGCTGTGGTTCATTTCCTACACAAATCCCTAAACCACCCCACGTACAAACAACCTGCAAGAAGGGAGGATAAACAAACTCCGACCTGACCCACATGCCTTTCCCAAATTGGCTTTGTTGACAATTCCTCTGTAGTTTCCTGCAGAAATATGGCCTCCTCAGCGAGGAGGGAATAAGAGTGACACCTGGCGGCCAAACTCAGAAACTGCAATCCCTAAAATTGCATCTGTTCCCTGCTACTATCCTTCCTGATTGTCAAACATATCCAGCATGGTGAAATTCAGCTGGGAGTTTGCCCATCCTTACATTAGAGGCAGGAACTGAACACAAAGGGAAACTAAGTATCTATACAACAAAAGTTTGTGGTGTGCTGCACTGACATGGGGGGAGGGGAGGAGGGAGAATTCTTACATGTATCGGGCTGCCGCCCTCAAAATAGAAATTTTAAAAAAACATACAAAAGCTACTTAAAAGAGGTATTTACACTTTAAAAAGAGAAAAAGGGTCAGGCAGTCAGAACTGCTAATTACATAATAACTGGTCTTGCAACTGCCAGGATGGAGGTGCTCAAGTTAGATGATGAGAGAGAAGCAACTTAAACTGGCCTCTAGAAGTGAAGGCACCTGATCTGGAAGTAGAATCAAGCTAGTGGGTTTTCTTGGGTGGGATGGGGGAGAAGTGCTGGGGGTTTCTTAGGACTCATTTTACTTGCAAGAAGATACATCACTTCTTCAGTTTATAGCAGGGACTCACATAGTGAGCTGATGCTCATTAGGCTGTCCCACACATTTTAAAGGTAAGAACTGGAATTGAAGAAGAGCTAAGGAGTTCCTTTGTCTCCTGGCTCATTCCTCTCTTAGTGCTGAACCAGACTGAGTCGTCACAGCCTTTTAAACAAGTATAAATGTATAGCAGTCAAGCAGCCATGTTTGCACTAGTCACTTGTTTTTAAAGTCAATTCTTCAGGGTTGTTAAATTTCAGCCTTCCATTGCACACCCTAGCCAGTAAAAAGAATTCAAGTCCAGTCCTCCTAAAGCCAAACATAAGGAACATATACAGAAATGAGAACATTTGGCATCCAGTGTGCCTAGGGCTACAAATCTGCTACCTTACGTTGAGTTTGAATTGTAACAAATTCCCAGTCTATAGTCTTCCCCCCCCCCCCCTGGCAACAGATGATGGACATCTGTATTTTCAGGACTGTCTAAGAACCTACTTTCCATCAGCAGGCACAGCCATGTTTGCAACTTGGTGACATCCCCAGGGAAAAATTAAAAGATACAGAGAAGAGTCTTTCGGTTTTTGTGTTCAGCTGTAAACATCAGCTAACCAGGTAACTGTGCATCTCTCTGGAGTTAATGCTCAAAACCACGCCTGAGTGATTGCCTAAAAAATACAAAAACAAAAAACTAACATTAGGATATTTTGGGCATTTTACTATGCATTCCCCTTTTATTGCAGAGACAAGTCAATCTAATTAGATGGTGGTCTTATCAAACAACAGTTCAGGTGCAGGTGATGCAGCAGCTCAGTGTACCTACAGCATACTTTCTACTTGAGTGCTTTAAAGTGCCTGCTCATGGTGGTTGGTAGTGAATTCCTAGTGTTTCCATCCCAGTGACAGCACAAGATAGTTCTCTTTGCAGCTTAAAAAGGTGTAGTTGTCTTGAGGGGAGCAGGTGAGGGAGGAGAATGGAACCTGAACCTTCCATTCAACATGCCACTGACCTGGGACTGGACACTGACCGGCATCAGCAATAAGGGTATTCTGTAGCTGTTCAAGTTTCCACCTCTCCCAGAAGGAGTCACTGCAAGGAAATGGAGTTGAGGAGTCCCAAGGTGGGGGTTGCGATAAAGTAGGCAACATAAAATATATAGAAAACAAAAAAAGTGGATGGGTGAGTTGGGAAATACTGTACTGTGACAATTCAAGAGTTATGAAAAAAGCAAGAGCAAACAGAAAACTAGGTTTATAAAACTCTGCTGTGCATAGAGAGGAGGCTATTATAGTGATCTAGCGTGTGGGGAAGCCATCGGAATAAGCAGGAATCTCTGTAGTATATGAGCCATCTGCAAATAATATCATGAAACAGAATTTAATATTTCAGTAGGGATGGTGATATGCTTCATACTTTAGCCAGACAAAACAGCACAATATTGAGATAACTAGGGAGATTTCCTAAGTGGCCTTTTATGTTATTGAAACTACAGGAAAATACTGTAAATACCAAAAAAGTGCAGGGTGTAGAAGTCATAAGAAAGAAAAAGTCATATGTCTGAAAACTGTCTGGCAGCTGATAAACAGAGATGGCTCTGACCTACGGACATGAGTTCTTCCTGTTTCACTGGATATCTGCTGATACCTTGGTAGAATTACAGGTCCCATTCAGATGTGCATTTGTTAATGGTCTAACTTAAGTCATTCTCGTTGGTAGGTCTTGGTCCTCAATCCTTTACTCCTCATTCAAGCAACATTCTTACTGAATTCAAGGGAAGTTTTATGTAAGTAAGGAATGCAAGATCAGACCAAATATAGCTTATAATGAATTATTTTTAAAATGGACTGTAAACCAGGATAGAAATTCTTCATTCCCATGTCCTTCTTCCTAAGCAGACACATACGAATAAATAGCGAGAGAGATTTCACAAATTCAGAAGGAAGATTGTGTTTGTAGAGTACCTGATGCTAAGGGGTTATGAGAGATTCTCACTAACTCCAGAACCCGGAAAGTGCCTCCTTGGTATTCAGGACTCTATTCTAGAGATGAGATCATTGAAACAATCTTGTCATGAACCATCATTTTTGTTACTCTGGATGACATGTCACACAGTACAATTCTGGTAGGGCTTTGTAGTATAATCAAGATTCTCTTTGAAGGGTTTTAATGAAACTATAATGACTTTAGTGTGTACGATTTGTTAAAAAATGTGCAAATCTGGGCAAAAACAATTTTGTATGTGAAATGTGTTTTTTCCCTTTCATCAAAGGTCAAATCAAAACAAGTAGTACCATATGGTTCAGATAAGGAAAATAAAAACAACAAAAGACAATTAGAGATAAATAGTAAGAATAAAAGAAAAAAAAAAGGACTTCTGAGATGTCTGCCCTATATGGCTGATATTAGGTTTCCATGTGGGTTCATGAAACCATTTAACCTCACAGTTGTCTCTACCACCATTTCAGACAGTTTTACAAACCTGAGATTTAGGGTCAGATTTTCCATTTTCACAGAGTTGTCAGAAACAGCACTAGATGACTAGACGATCTTCCTTTGTGTGCTACACACTCAGGCTATGTGTACATTGGCAAGATTTTGCGCAAAAACTTGCCGCCTGTCTACACTGGCAGGGAGTTCTTGCACAAGAACACTGACGTTCTAATGTGTGAAATCTGTGCTTCTTGTGCAACAACTATGATGCTCACACTCAGGAATTTGCCCTTTTGCGCAAGAGCTCTTCCAGAAGAGGCCAGTGTAGACAGGCAACCTGAATTTCTCGCGCAAGAAAGCCCTATGGTTAAAATGGCCATCAGAGCTTTCTTGCGCAAGAGAACATCTATACTGGCATGGATTCCCTTGCACAAAAACACATACCAGTGTAGACATTCTCTTGTGGAAGAGTTTTTGCGGAAGAGTTCTTCTCTGAGAACGCACCAGTGTAGATGTAGCCTTAGACTGCTCTTTTCTCTAAATGGATTTGGTGGAATTTATAGGCTCTCTATATAACATCCAGCAGACAACATTCCTGTATATCACAAATTGCCTAGATAAGCACTTTAAATCACTTGCTCTAAGAGCCATTCATAAAAGGTTCCTGAATGGGAAGTCTAATGACTGTCCACTGGATTCTGGCGACATAGGACTCAAAATAGGATGAGCTCAATGAAGTTTTGTATTTGGGAATTAATTTCACATGCCTAAAAAAAGAACACCTTCCTTACAATCTACCACGCATTATGGAAACATTCATTTTACATATAATATCTGTCTAAAATTCACTATACTTAGAATTCAGGGCATGCATAAGTTAATTTAAATGCTAGTAAAGTTCAATAATTATGGTCTGTGCTGTTTATTGTTTTATCTTCCTAATGTTCACATCATATGTCTCATGACATATTGTATATTTATATGGCATGTCATTTAACAGAATAAACTGAATTTAAAACAAAACAGAGGATAAAAATAGAGGATAAAAAGTTTTTTTCTTGTTAGCAGTTTACCATTCAATGTCCCCTGAAGTGGAGTATAAAAATGAAAATTCTCAAAATGCAAACATTAAAAATAATTTTAAAACAAAACAAAATACTAATTGAGATGTTAATAAGTGAAGGTGAAGTTACCTCTTGCGTTACCTAGCGTTTGAGAATCCAGATCATCATCAATAAACTCCTCACCCTGGATGATGTTCTGGGTGTCCTCACTGTGATTAACAGGACTGGTCATCTCCTGTTCTTTCTCATTGTGCATCTGGGCATAGACATTTCTGCCTGGCAGTTTCCTAAATAGCACAGGAAAAAAATATCCTTTGATGGAATTTAGCTTCATGCCGTATACAACTGATCATATTATTCTCACACCCCTAACGAAAAATTCTATAGAATTAAATAAAGAATAATGTCTCCATTGAATTTTTAAATTCATCTATAGAACTCTTTCTATTGGATTTTAGAATAACAGCTATAGATTTCCTATTACAATCTACAGGAGTCCATTGGTTTTACCCTGTTACATTTTATAGGAATTTAATAGATGGTATCATGAACTTGCCCGGTTTTGATAAAAGGATTTCTATACAAACAGATTTTGTTGTTTATTGTTCACATATTTAGCGGAGTCCCAGTAGCTACAATTTTTTCATCAAATTAAAAAAAAAAACTCTGTTGAAAACATGAATAAATTACAATTTCCTTTCTAAAATGTCTTTCATAGAAAGCTGATAAAACATCATTTAGGCTGCAGGCTTCTTGTGCAAGAAGCTTTTTGCGGAAGAGTTCTTTCGCAAAAAGGCATGTGTGGATGGGAAAAAGGACGTTTTTTCAGAAGAAGAGGAAAGAGGAAAAAGCACAGGTGCCCTGGTGGCCATTCTGTCCATTGCAATCACAGCTTATATGCGAGAGAGCGTCCATTCAGTCTGGACACTCTCTTTCAAAAAGGCAGATCGCTTTGTCGATGCACTTTTGCAGTGTGGACACTCTATCTCTTCCGAAAAAAGATTCTTCCAAAAGAAGACTGTAGTCTAGACGTAGCCAGATTATGAGAAAAGACAGATATTTCTCTTCTTGTGAAGACTCAAATGCACTCCCACTAAAACAGGCAAAATACTTACATAGAGGAACCAATAATCTAATCTAGTATGATGAAACCTATGTTCCTGCTGTGGAAAAAAATGATTTCATCTCTTCTGCCAGTGACAAATACAGGTTAAATCCCTCTCAAGCGGACACCCTTGGGACCTGACTGGTACTGAACCAGAGAATTTACCCAACCACAGGAGGTCAATATTGTCCAGCAGCATTACGAACACTTCCACTGCTTACTGTGCTCTTAAAAGACATTTGGGGTAAATTAGAGCCAAATAACAGCACAGAACACTGGGAACCAGGACAGGTGGCTATAAACAAACTGTATTGTGTTGCGAGAAACTTGACTACATGAAAAGTGAACATCCAGCTAACTAAAATCATGTTAGACCAAGGATGTTGCCAGATCAGAGAGTACCGGATTGGAGAGATTCATCCTGTACATGATAGTTTTGATGTGGGTGAAATATCGTTTTCTTGCTCTAGCCTTTGTGTGGTGGATACTATGCTGTTTGTCTGTATTACTGCATAATGCCCCACATCATGGAAGCCTATGCAAAGTGCAGCTGAAGAGATGAAGAAAGAAATTCTAATAGGAAAAACACAAACATAAAAATGCATTGGAAAAAAAAGAAAGAGAGGGATTTTCTTTGATTTAATTATATTTAATAAAGATAGCATTTCTTTGAAAAACAATGTGTATTCTGGATCCTTGCTAGATAAGAGAGTCACTGGAATTTTCCAGCTGCTTCATGCTGTTCCAGAGAAAGGATGTGCCCTCCCATCCCAGATCGTTTAGCCTCTGAAATATTCAGTTTTGTTCTGTGAATTGTTTCTTCCTTCAGCAGCATTTGCTGCCAAGGAAGCCACCCTTTTGTTTCATTCCCATCCCATAATAATGAATATTTGACAAAATTCTGGACTAACATATTGTTTGTTAACCACTATCATGAAAAAAAATAGGATACGTATTTGTAAAGTATATAACATTAAAAGTTTATTAGGAAGTATAGGTTGAACCTCTCTAGTCCATCACTCTCTGGTCCAGCAACATCCGTGGTCCGGCATGATTTTAGTGAGCCAGACGTCCACTTATCATGGGTGTGGTCAAGTTTCAGGCAATTCCATAAAGTTTATTTGCAGCCACCTGTCCTGGGTCGCAGTGTTCTGTGAAGTTATTGAGCTCTAATTTACCCTAAATGTCTCCTAAGAATCCAGCGAGCAGTGGAAGAGTTGGTAATGCTGCTAGACAATACTGACCTCCCATGATCTCGCACATTTTCTGGTTGATACGGTCTAGAGAGGGGCTGTTACCAGTCAGAGCAGCCTCTGTCTGTGGCAGGCTTGGGAACCCCACAGGCAGGGGCTGCTCTGACTAGGATTGTGGGGGAAGTGAGAGCGCAGGACCTCATAGGTGAGCCTCTGCTTCAGGTTGATTAACCCGTTTCTAATCATCTCTGTCTTTTAGAACCTGCTTTGGTGGATCACCTGCTGTCTATTTTGGAAGAATCCAATTTTGCCGGAAGCTGCATGTTGCTGCTGATCCTGCTCTGGAGTATGATTTGTTGAACTGATGAATTACAGGAGTTAAAGTCATGTTACAATTCCTAGCATTCCTACAGTTGTCCTCTGCAATAACTGTCCCATTCAGAAAATAAGTCACTAGGACATTTTAGAAAGGAATCAAGATGAATAAAATTACCTTTTTCTTAAATATGGTATATTTCTTTGTCTGTTGTCAAATTGTCTGCAATTTAAGGGCTAATAAAGAGGGTGTAAATCACAATCTCTCATAAAAGATTTCCCCAACGAGTTTAATAATCATGTAATACAAACAGATAATCCCCGATGTACTGCAAATGAAATAGTATTATTGTATCTCATAAACCATTTCTCTGATAATTTATGTTGCTCTGAGAATCCAGAATAGTTAAATGGATTTTTATTATCTATTCAGCTGTTGATAGAGTTTGATATTAAATTCTGTTTTTCAGCCTATAGGATGATAAGTCATAAATATCAAGAAACTTAAGATTCCACAGTTGAAAAGCCAAGAGGATCTTTCTATATGAAAAAAGTGCCTCTGTCAGAAGATAATATTTTTGCAAAGTTGAACTCTTAGTTAAATGCTGTTTTCTTTCTGTTGTTACTAGCTTAGGGTATGCCTACACTACCCTCCTAGTTCGAACTAGGAGGGTAATGTAGGCATACTGCACTTGCAAATGAAGTCCGGGATTTGAATTTCCCGGGCTTCATTTGCATAAGCGGGGCGCCGCCATTTTTAAAACCCCGCTCGTTCGAACCCCGTAGTTGAACTCTTAGTTAAATGCTGTTTTCTTTCTGTTGTTACTAGCTTAGGGTATGCCTACACTACCCTCCTAGTTCGAACTAGGAGGGTAATGTAGGCATACTGCACTTGCAAATGAAGTCCGGGATTTGAATTTCCCGGGCTTCATTTGCATAAGCGGGGCGCCGCCATTTTTAAAACCCCGCTCGTTCGAACCCCGTGCAAGCGCGGCTACACGGGGCTCAAACTAGGTAGTTCAGACTAGGCTTCCTATTCCGAACTACTGGTACACCTCGTGGAAGCCTAGTCCGAACTACCTAGTTCGAGCCCCATGTAGCCGCGCTGCACGGGCTTCGAACCAACGGGGTTTTAAAAATGGCGGCGCCCCCCCGCTTGCAATGAAGCCCAGGAAATTCAAATCCCGGGCTTCATTTGCAAGTGCGGTATG